CAGTGTCGCGCCCGTACCGGACCAGGACCAGCAAAGGGATCGCAACCCTCGGTGTCGCGCCCGCACCTCGCTCAGCCAGTGAGCCGCCGGTCTGTATGTGGGATCCGAACCCTCGGCGGGGCGCTGCCGCGCTCCCAAGCGGCGCACTGTAGCAGTGCGCCACCGGGCAGGCCCACAAATTTCATTATTTTATAGGCACACCTATAAAAGGTACAACCACTCAAATCTAACTCTACAGATGCTTAGAGCCCACTCTCAGGCAAGTATTTTGCACAGCAAGGGTATAGTACTTGAAAACTTAGGCTTTCGTCAGAGGTCACAAGGTCACCTTTGTGTTTAATTAACCCAGCCTGCAGCAGTTTGCTTTGGTTTCTAATACTTTAAAAAATTATTAAATGAAATGTCATTATTTAAGATGTGGAATACAGTCCATGAATTCAAGAATATCTGACTTCTCTTGAAGAAAAAAAGTGGCAAGAGATGGAGGACTAGATAATATTAAGTCTTTTTTCTCAAATGGAAGTAATTAGTTAAGTCTAAGAGGTAGCTGACTTAAAGACTTTCCAGTCTGCTATTCACCTTTCCTCTCCCATAATTTGAATTTACAATCATGACTTTAATCATCAACACAAATTTGCCTGTTTATAAATTCCATTAGTTTTGTTTTTGTTTTGTTAAATAGTTCTCTGAGGAAAAATTCATGCAACTTTCAAAATAGTCTACTTTTCTTTGAAGAGATTAGATATGAAATCACATATAGCCCATCTGTTGGCTCACCTAGTCCAAACCACTAAGCAAAAAATTATTAGTTCAAGGGGCAATCTGACTGTCTACAGCAGTGTTTTTTCACATCTGTCTTTAACAGTTAGTGTGATCTCATTTATCTCCCATGTTAGGCCCCTATTTGCCTCTGGAACTCCAAGGTTCTGAAGCTAAGTTTGAGAACTACATGGGTCTAGAATACGTAGTGATCTTCCTTCACAGGGTAAACAGCACCTATACATTGGACACATGAGTTGTTCAGGGTCTCAACACAAATTGGAAACAAAATAGTCATCAAAAATACCTTCAAGTCACATAAATATGTTTTGAGGGAGCATGTCAGAAAAATACATTTGAAACCTATAGCAAAATTTTCTTATGAAAAAGGAGGGATAATGAAACAGTAAGACTAGGTAAAGAACCACCCTTCTGCTGATAACAATTACAACAGCTGGACAAAAATAGAAAAAACAAATGTTTGAAAGTATCAAAAAGCTAACAGGGCAGTGAAGATCTGGAAAAAGAATGTAGAGAGGCAGGTTTTGCATTTCCCATTGCTTGCCCCTATGTGCATCTGCTGATCTCAAAAGAGGGGGGATGATGAGCTGGAGTAGAGAAACACTGCCTTTTGAGGTAAGAGGAAAAGCAACTTCAGTCCAAGGAAACCTGCAATGTTTTGGTTTGGGACTGTGAAGGGCTATATCCTGTGAAGGTACCCTTACCTGCCTGCCAGAAGCAAGCTTTAAATCTTCTCTGGAATAGAATATCATTTGAAACCTGGGATTATGTCCATGATTTTTTGTACACAGCATCCATTACTTTGTAAAAAATAACCAGGCACATCAGGAGAAAAGATGACGTGACTGAAATGCAAGTGAAAAAAGAGACAACAGAAACAGATCCAAGGGAGATCCAGATGGAGTAATCAGAGACAGACTTTAAAATACCTATGTTGAATATGTTCAGAAACATAAAACACAACTGAAGACTTTGGTAAAAAACATGAAACTAAAGCCATTTAAAAATTTATAAAATAAAAGAATTATAAAACTGAAATAAAATGACTAGGATTAAAAATTCAGTGATAGATTTAATAGTACATTAGACATTGAAAGAGAATTAATAATTAGACAATAAGGTAAAAGAAAATATCTAGAATGAAGCATGGCAAGACAAAAAGATGAGTACTTCAGAAAAGAGCATATGAGACAACAGGGGCACAGGGAAAAGGTCTAACAGAGGTGAAATCAGAGTCCCTAAAGGAGAAGTCACAAGTGGGCAGATAAAAAATTTGAAGACAATTATTGAGAATTTTCCAAAAGTTATGAAAAATATAAAACCACAAGTTTCAGGATGTCCTATAAACACCAATCAGAATTAAAACAAAGAAACAAACAACACCCACACCTAGTCACATCACAGCAAAGGCAAAACTAGAGAAAAACAGAGAGAAAGAGAAGACGAAATCATAATAGCAGCTATCAAACATGGACAGATTATAGACAAAGGAACAGCAAATAAGACTGATAGCTGACCTCTCAACGGAAGCCAGAAGACAATAAAATGTTATCTCGAAGTGTTAAGAAGGTAGTTGCCAACCAAGACACACCTCTGAAAATGAAGTAAAGGCATTTTCAGATATACAACAATAGAGAGATTTTCATTACCAGCAGAACTGCACTTAAGAGAATAGTAAACAATGTTCCATAGGCAACCCCCCAACCAAACCAAAACAAAACCAAAAGAAAACACAACACCCAAATATATGAAAGCTTTGAAATTCAAGAAGTAATAAAAAACAATAACAACAGAAGTATATATATAGTTATGGTTATATAAAGTAACTTTAATTAACAACAATAACATCTTTTAGGATTTAAAGGCATAGCAATAACTGTATACAAATCAGGAGGTGAGTAAATGGAATTTAAGTGGTCCAAGTTCTTTCCATTGCCCCTCGTGTAATGCTAGAAAAATAGTAAAATAGCATATAGTTACCAAGTTAATACAGTAAGAAAAATACCATACACAAAAATCAATTTAGGTAGATTGTAGACAAACCATATGGTAAAAGATCAATAAATCAGGCTTTTAAAATTAAGAACTTCTGTTTATCAAAAGATAACCATAAAAGAGTCAAAAGGCAAGTCATATCATTCCCAGGATGTATAAATAATCTTACAAATATATGAACCAGACAACCTAATAAAAGGGGCAAAAAACCCAAAGCAATAATTGATAAAAGAAGACTAATATACATAGAAAAGAGTGATCAACTATGGAGGATACTAACATTTATAAAGCAAATGTATTTCACAGGGCCTGGTTTCCAAAGCCCTGTAGTTTCAGGTATAACCTAACTTTTTAGAATTACATACAGAAATATTAAGCTTGCAAAAGACAGGAAACTTTCCCCAGGCTAAAGTCTCTATTGTAGATAAAAATTGCAACACAGCAAAATTGCTGGCTCAAAGGATAGATGTCCTTGGTGCAAGTTAACTTACTGATTGATATATTAAGAAAGATGCTTCATTGTTATGTAAAAATACAAAGGAAATTGCTGTAGGAAAAGACAGTGTTTGCTAAGAACAAGCTTTTGTAGGTGAATCAACTTAACCTGTTGCAAATTGCATTACGCAATGTCACTTTGTTATAACCTAACTTTTTAGAATTACATACAGAAATATTAAGCTTGCAAAAGACAGGAAACTTTCCCCAGGCTAAAGTCTCTATTGTAGATAAAAATTGCAACACAGCAAAATTGCTGGCTCAAAGGATAGATGTCCTTGGTGCAAGTTAACTTACTGATTGATATATTAAGAAAGATGCTTCATTGTTATGTAAAAATACAAAGGAAATTGCTGTAGGAAAAGACAGTGTTTGCTAAGAACAAGCTTTTGTAGGTGAATCAACTTAACCTGTTGCAAATTGCATTACGCAATGTCACTTTGTTTATTTCACTGATGTTACTAGTTTCCACTGTTAAAACAATACTTAGCCATAACTCTGCCCATGTCCTTGTGTTCTTTATAATGATTAAATCAACTGAATTTTCTTATGAAACTTCCTTGTCTTTACAAGAAAAGGGAGAAGCTAACTTTGAATAGGGGCTGTCACATTCGGCCTTCTCCTCCTAATGGGGAAATTACTGAAGTGCAGTCCTTCTGGGCCTCTCAATGCATACATGATGCTTTGAGTAACTGCATATAATTCTTTTTTATGTCTCCGTTACACAGGGGGAAATGTAATAATCAACCTCGTTAGTAATTAGGGAAATGAAAATTATAACCACACCAAGATACAATTACTTACCTATTGGAATGGGTGAAAATAAAAAGACTGAACTTACTAGGTTTTGATGAGGATGAGGAACATGAGAACTCTAAAAACACTGCCAATGGCCAACTTTAGTAGATAATATAAAACTGTTTTCTAAAGTTGATTATATAATATCAGGATTCGTAAGTTCCATCCTGAATATAATGTATAGCCAATAAAATACTTGTGCACTAAGAAATTTGTGCAAGAATATTCATAGCTGCATTATTTGTAATAGGTCAATAGAGGAAACTAGCAAATGCCCATCAACAGAATGGATGAATCCATCGTACTGCATTCATATAATGGAATGCTAAATAGCTTTGAAAATGAAGTACAGCTACACTCAAAAACATGAAAGAATTTCACAAATCTAATGTTAACTGAAATAAGTCAGAAACAATACAGATCAAAGCATAAGAAAACAAACATAAATCTGTGATTCTATTTATAAAAAGTTCAAGAACAGCTAAAACTAAACCACAGCATTAGAAGTCAGGGTAGTAGTTAACTTTGGGGAACATGATACAGGTGGTAATTAAGAAGGGGCAAGAGCAGGACTTATGGGATGCTGACAATGTTTTATTTTTGGGTATTGGTTACCTGAATGTTTTGCTTTGTTATAATTCATTAGTTGTTCATTTGTTTTGGGTAATTTTCTGTATGTGTTGATTAATTCAATAAAAAAAATTGAAAAGAAAAATATTACTAAACAAAACAACAAATATGATCAAACAGTCTGATCTTAGTGTGTCAAGTTTATGGTCAAATGCATACAGAAAACATTTCAATTTGTTTCTGTCAATAATGTGGCTTTTGGATTCCTAAAATTTGCTGCACTTAACTGTAAAATCTTTAGTGACATATAATCATTAGGTTGAAATATATAATAAACATAACAAACCAAAGTTCTGTAGAATTAGCTGACGCTTAACATGCTAATTTTCAAATAACTTTTAAATACCTTCATGTAGAAATGTCATATCTTTCTTGACAACAGGGAAGAGTGGAATAATCGGAGGCTGCATACTCTGACTACTAAGAATATTTCTATACTTTGCCATGTTTCTAGATGGATCAAAAAGGTCTTGCAGATCCTGGAGATGTTTCTCATATTTGCTTGGTAACTTTTCCCAAGTACCTCTGAGTCGTGCCACAGGTGCCAGGTTCAAGCCACTGCCAAAGATGAGAATAAAAACATTAAAAAGGGACTTGGGGGAGATGGTGGACTCAGGTCAATAAACTCTATACACCAAGTTCTCTAATAAAGCTAAAAAATAATAAGGGACATATTCCAGCACATTGAAATAAACAGAAGAACTATAAAAAAATAAATAAAAGGGACTCGATTTTAAAAGAAGGAGAACTTCTTTCAGAGGAACTACGTTACTTGCCTGTAGTTGTATCATTTACAGCTTTTAATTTATACTTTGTATGTAAGTGACAAATTTTATAATTCTATAAAAAAACTTTTAAGGACCATGATGTTCTTTGTTTTACTTAGAAACATTTAGAGACATTACCTCCTCGAAAGTGGTTTAAGTAATGCTGAGAATAACTGTTAAATAATAACTAAGGTAACTTCTGGGCTGAGGCAGCTTTTTTCCTGAGATTTTGTCCACTCATGTCCCTGAGTCCAATATTTCCATATCCCTAGGTTCTAATCTCGTTTCCTAAGCCTCCAGATATTCAATGTGTCTTTTCCACAGGAATTTAAACAAGCTTAGATGTTCGCTAACTTGAAAAAACAATTCATGCCAATTAGGCTACAACTCCCCCCTATTAACTTTGCCTCTATACAGGTTGAACATCCCAAATTCCAAAATCCAAAATGTTCCAAAATCTGAAACTTCTTTTTTAAGGAATTTATTTATTTTTTAATTGAAATGTGTTGATGGTACATATTTATGAGGTACAGAGTTATATTTCAATACATGTATACAATGTGTAATGATCAAATCAGGGTAATTAGCATATTCATCATCAAAAAAATTTATCATTTCTTTGTGATGAAAATATTTGAACTCTCTTATAACATTCATTTGAGAACATACAAGAAATTATTATGGATGTCTAGCACTACTGTGAACTAACAGAACTTATTTTTCCTATCTACATGTAATTTTGTGTCCATTAACCAACCTCTCACTATCCCCTCTCCCGCATCCCCTTCCCAGCCTCTAGTAACCACAATTCCACTCTCTAGTTCTAAAAGTTCAATTTCAGCACAGACATGACACTCAAAGGAAATGCTCATTGGGGCATTTTGAATTTCAGATGCTCAACCAGTAAGTATAATACAAATATTCCAAAATCTGAAAAAATCTGAAACATTTCTGGTTGCAAGCATTTTGTATAAGGGATACTCAAAACTATATCCCATGGGTAGGTTGCCAAATGAATACTGTAGATATAAGGTCTCAATTTTCTTACCAGCTAATCCTTCTTTGTTTCTCAGCCATCTGAATTTTACCCAACCACTATACTTAAATTTAATTCTACTGACTTCTGATTTTAGGATGTGTAGTTAAAATATTTTTGTTCCCTCTGCTTCTCAGAACTCACCCCAAACAACTACAAGAAGGATGAATAACAGAAATGCAAATTTCATCTCCACTGAAACTAAGAGATAATCTAATTCCTAAACACATTAGAAAGGTTGTCAAAAATTAGTCAAAGGTCAAACAGGAGTATGTAAAGATACTGAAAAATGCTGTCTGCAGCTGAAGATCTCAATGAAAGCTGGCAAAGCAGTTCTCCAAAGCATGTAACTCATCCTGAAGGCAAAACCAACAATCCCTTATTTAGAACACAACAGAGTTCATAGGCTGAACTCTTACCATAGAGTTGAGGGAAGGTAAGATTAAACCAGCACACACAGTCAAATATTTTGGTAGGAAGCTGTTTAACAGTGAGACTGGACAGAAGGGAGAAAATGAGTTGTAAACAGCCCTAAAGCTGCCAATCTCCATTCACTGGGAAAAAGTTAACAGGTAAAACCATTCATATAAAAGACCAGCTAACTCCTGCTAACTTGGAATATGGCTCTTGATCCTCTTTCACGTGAACCTCCTGCAAATAGCTAGTACAGGAAAACACATTACTCAAAAGGAAGGAATAAATACAGATCTATAACAAGAAGCCACAGGGAATAACAAAGAGCATGAAGCAGAAAAATGTTGTTAACAATCAGACAAAAACTGGGACTAACCAACATCCTAGCCATAATTTCAAATAAATTAATGAAATAAAGAGCTTAATGTGGTGATACAAGAGCTTAGGGAAAATATGGTAAGAGAAGTTGATAAATAACTAAATAGTAAAGTTCAGTAAACAAATAAAAGAAAAAATAAAACCAACAAAGAAATGAAGGGCACACTGGAACCTACAGAAGAAAAATACACTGCTAAAATACCATGCAAGTGACACAGAAGGAAGGATTAACAAAAGCATTCAATGGAAATGAATAAAGTTGAAAAGAACTAGAGAGAAAACAATGGATATAGGTGACAAAGGAGATCTAAAATCTGAATAATTGGTATCCCTGAAGAAAAAAAAAAAAATAATGGAACTAAAAATATGCAGTTCAAAGGTGCAATTTGAGAAAACTTTCCAGAAACAAAAGATTTGAATCTATAGACTGAAAAGGCACCATAGTTACAGAGAACCTGATATAAAATTAAAAGAGATGTAGAAACGTCCATGTAAAGGTAAAGGAGTTCAGCAATAAGAATCTGGGATTGTGGGAGGGAAGAGAAATTCAAGTTAATCTCAGGAACTTAAACAGCCACATAAAATGCTGGTTGAGAAGCCACTGTTTACAAAGTCCCCAAGAAATAATGTCTAAGATAAGAATTTTATAGTCAGACAAACAGTCATTCATATTCAAAAACAACAGAAAGACACTTTAAATATGCTCAGGAAATATAATTTCCACAATACGAGAAAGCAAAATCAACCAAGAGATGACTGGAGAAATTATAAGAAAAAGACTGTGGTGGGCATCTAAGACTATTCAAAACAAAGCCTGGCAAACTATGGCTCGTGAAAGTCAAATACATAGAATAACAAATAAGAATGAGAGAAATAACTGTAGATACACAGGAAATTTTAAAAGAGCACAGTAGGCTAATTTGCTCAGTTCTACATGCAAATTAATTTAAAACTTGGATGAAATGGATACTATATTAGGCCACCAAACAATAACCAGTGTGCCAAATTAGGTCCATTGCCTGTTTTTGTAAATAAAATTTTATTGAAACAGAGCTATAGCCATTTAATAACTTACTGTTTATGGCTGCTTTTGTGCTACAATGGCAGAGGTGAAATTCTGTATTGAAGCCTAAACTATTTCCTTTGCAGAAAAAATGTGCCAGCCTCTATTTAGGAAACATTGAAAGGGAAAGACATATAAAACCTCAAAAGATGACACAAATTACAAAAAAAGAGCACCACACCCAGATGGTTTTACAGGTGAATTCTTTCAGAACATTAACCAACTAATTATCTTCAATGCTATTTAAACTGTTACAGAGCATAAACAAGGAATAAAAGCTTTCAAATTTTATGAAGCTAGCATAGCACTAATATTAAAACCCACATGAAGAACAACACTATAAATCAATTCACTTATGGAAAATGTTACAAATAATATCAAAGATTATTTTAGTAATACATTAAAAGAAAAATTTACCATTACTAGATGGAGTTCATGCCAGATTAGAATGGTAATTCACTCTCAGGAAACTATTAGCATAACTTACCACAGTAATAGATAAAGAGAAAGATTCTATGATTATGTTATATACTTAAATATCATATCATTAAATTCAATATTCATTTTTAATTTTTAGAAAATCAGTAAAATAGAATAGAAAACGTAATATATTTCTCACCCAGAGGCAGCATTATGTTTAATGGAGAAATACCAGAAGCATTCCTAGATTGAGTCACAAATTATGTACAGAGGTTCATAATTACAATTACTATTTAACATGGAAGTACCAGTAGATGACAACAGACAAACAGATAAGTAAAATGAAAGAGGTAGTTATCATTATTTGAAGAAAATTAGATAGTATAACTCAAATCCCCCCAAAATATTAGCTGAAAATTATTAGAAACAGGAAGAATGTAGTAAGGTGCCTATGTATAAAATTGATACACACAAGCATCAGAACACATAGGCAGAAACAAGAACCAGTTAGAAAATATAAAGATTCCATGCATAACAGCAATAAGATATTAAACATTCAAAGAAATGATCAAGATTTATAAGAACAAAGCCATAAACTCCACAGAGAAAACAAAAGAAAACTGGAACAAGTGGAATAAGAGTTCATGGGTAAAAAGAGCCACTGTTATAAAGACATCAAGCACCTGCTAAATTAACCTCCATATTTAATGTAATCTTAAAATAATCTCAAAATGCTAACAAAAGTTTTTGGGTTTTTAAAAATATATATATATATATTTTTTTTCCTTTTTGTCTTTTTTACTGACCAGCAACGGGATCGCAACCCTTGGTGTTGNTATATATATATATATATATATTTTTTTTTTCCTTTTTGTCTTTTTTACTGACCAGCAACGGGATCGCAACCCTTGGTGTTGCGCCCGCACCGCACTCAGCCAGTGAGCGGGAACCGGTCTCCACATGGGATCCGAACCCTCGGCGGGAGCGCCGCAGCGCTCCCAAGCGGTGCACTCTCCAGTGTGCCACCGGGCCGGCCCTAAAATATATTTTTTGGTGGTTTTTTTTTTTGGCTGCTGGTCGGTGCAGAGATCGAACCCTGGACCTTGGCATTATCAGCACAATGCTCTAACCAACTGAGCTAAACGAGCCCCCTCTAAAATTTATAACCAGATAATTGATTCTAAAGCTCATATGAAACAAACATACAAACATGCCAGAAATAGCCAGAGAAAAGTATGAAAAGAGCAACGATGGGTTTGACTAGCCATACCAGATCTTAAAAACAATTTTAAAGCTTTAGCAATTAAAATAGCAAATAAATAGATAAGACAAATCAAATGGAACAGAGAGTGCAGAAATGGACCCAAATATATATGAGATTTTAGTATAATAGCATCACAGACTTTAAGAGAAAAGGTAAATTAATGATGTTGCATACCTGAGAAGCCAGTTGAAACAAAGTAAGATATATTCACCTACC